AAAGTGCACGCGTTAGCTTTATTATTTTTCAACAATTTAATGTTACTAACAGGTTTACCACTTCAGCAGAACATGAATGTATGGGTGCGCCCTAGATTTTTTCATTCTAATAATGATGATTGAAATTCGAAAAGTTTCTTCCCTCCGATAGTACAACGCGTCAGATTTAGAATCAAGCGGGGTAAAACTCTTAGTGAGAGAGAACCTTCGGAAATACCAGCGGATGCTTCAAAAGTTATTCGTTTCAATCTCTTTTTTAAAAGTCGGTCGACATGGTTTCTAAGAAACAAATGCCTCGATCTGAATATCACTTTGCCTACTTCTTCTAGAGTTGATTAGTGATTGAACGAAGGTTTTCATGCCTTCTTTTGTTGCTTTGATTACAATGTATCTTACAAGCTAGTAGATCATTTTATAAGGCGTAGATTTTTGTAAACATATAGCAGTGCAACTTCAAAACTCATATACTCATTACATTCGGTGATAATTCAGGTTGGTGTGGACCAACTGACTGCTTCTTCTAATACGTTTAACATAAGGGGCATCCATTTTGTGACTCCGAATGTAAAGCACACTACTGATTGAGATTTGAATCAAAGTTTTGTTAATAAAAATAAAACTTGATTACAAAAACAACGAACCCGCGGTTACGTGTCGCGATGTTTCGTGTGAGACGAAGCTCATATTTAGTTAAATTCTTTTTATTTTTTTTATATAACCGATTTCTCAGGGATTCTCGTAACGCGAAGACAGTCGGAAAGAAATGACGAACGAGAAATGAAGGGAGGTGGTGGCCGTAGAGTAGTGGATGTGTTGTCAATCGATAAGTGCTATGCCCTGCTAATGGTTCTGTACTCACTATAGCTATGACCAAAGCTAACTCTACGGCGCTGAGATTTGAACCCGCGACACTGCCTTGGTAGATTCGATTCAGACCCACTCGACTACTCATGCGTAAATTAAATTAAATTACTTCGTAGATAATCATCCTGCGCTTTTCATATAAAGAAAACTCATTTGACGTTCCTGGCGGACCTTATGTTGGGTGTGGTTTTTGTGCTGAAAATAACATTTTTAAGCAAAAAAGTGTCATTTCGGTTATCGTCAATCGAGGATGTTGCAGCTGCATGCTAACTAATTCTTTGTGCCACGAAGTAGAAAAGTCCAATGATGTGTGTCATCCCCGCAATTGCCTATGCGAGGTTGCAATAAAGACCATGCGATATAGCTTTGTTAGACCTTCTACTTTGGACCTGCGTTGGAGCGTTAGCTTACTCCAATCAACCCCGAAGTCTCAATTATATTATTCTCTAAGATTATTTGTGTTATTGGCGTAATAAGAGCAGATTTATGTCGAAGACAAGTGTCCAGAGGCGATCATTTACATGAAATCATTTGTCAATAAAAATGGCTAAAATAAAAAGAAATCCTATTGATATCCATTATTGTTCAGTTGTGTATTACAAATTGAAGAAAAAAGCACTTAGTTGATGAGCTTTTATTTCGGCCTCATCTTGTATATAAAATGATTGTGTTGGAGAATTTTTGCTCCTATCATATATTATAAAATTGAAAATAAGAGGAAGTAAAATCTTGTGGGATATAAAACGTCATTAAAAAAATCTATTTGTAGTTGCTGCTGATAAATGAATAACAATAAAGCGAAGAAGAAATTATGCACAGTGACCTATTTTGAAGTGCGGTTGTGAAGGAATACCCATAATAATAATAATAATAATAATAATAATAATAATAATGATAATTATGAAACAATTGCTGCAGCCTAGAAAACGCGTCTACAAGTGCATAAATTTATAATATGCAGCAAAGCTCACATATCTTGAGGGAAAAACTAAGAAAATACGGAAAATGCATGTAATAAAATTTATATAATGGAATTTTGCCGAGGCAAGCAAGGCGCTTAGATTATGATTATGGTGCGGGAAACATAAACACCTACGCAAAGAAAAAAAAAAAAAAAAAAAAAAAAACAAGAATAAATAGAAATGTATGCATATACCCATCGACGTACACATCGACATTTAACACAAACATATATATGTTTGTTAGATACAAGATTTGAATAGGCGTAACGCCAAGCAATAAAAGTTCAGAAATAGACTAATGATTCCAATGAACAGTTAGCAGATTTACGAAACAGTCGAGAGGCAAAAAACAAACAAAAATATTGAAAAATCGTATTAATGACTTATATAAATGTTTAGCAAATTATTTTAAAGCGAAAAACCTATTAATACATTTTCTATTTTCTTGTTGTTTTCCTTTTGAATATTTAGAAAAAAATTTCGTATTTAGTAACAGAAAATGGAAGTACGCTAATTTTATACAATAAAACGATTCTAACATTTGCAAGCGGGCATCAGACACATCAATAAGGTGTTGCATGTTGTTGTTGAATAATTTCTCGCTTCTCCATCTCAACGTATTATCTTTACACTTTGCGTAACGGGATAAGCTATTTCATTAAATTGTGCACACTATAGTTTCTGCAAAGTTTCGAATAGGGCGGTGAACCGCGCTTTTTTCTACTTAATTGGAACGATAGTGAGTGCTGTTAAGTCGGGATGATGGACAGTGAACTCACTTGCATATCTAAAGTGCAAGTAATCTTGATAAAGGCCAAGGGAGCTGTTAACGTTCCGTTTAGTTAACCAGCTGGAAATATTGTGTTATGAGTCGCTCTAACCAAAGCAAGCCATCGAAACCATCATTCTGACGAAAAATGGTCACGTATTGGTAGGAGTTATGAGATCTTGATTTGTCAACGTGATGGCGTTAAGCAGTGCACATCATTGAAGCTGCAGCGATATGTTCTCGCTTCACCGCTGTATTCAGCAAACGTTAGTTCAAAGGATGGCTTGCAGCCTTGTTCTCTCTTTGCCACTGATCATTACACATACAAAGTTGTGCCTTGTGGGTTTTTTTTGTCATAGTTTCTGTGACTTTGTGCAAAATTTGCTTATCTGGAATCACTCGAAAGGTATGTTACAAAAAAAGTGCTTGTGATTGGCTTGCAACTTTTAAAGTTTCCATGATGTTGCTTCGAGCTGGCCAAGAAACGGGTTCTTCCGTGTACACATCTCAAAAGATCGGATATTCTTTCATATTCAGCCTCAAGGATAAGAGAAGTAGTGACTAGCGATGAAAAATATTTTAAGTAATATTGGTATAAAAGCGAGAAGGAGCTTTACACTCTCAATATGTAAGTATTTTTGGTTAACATGATATTCTTAAAGGATTTAGTTTTGAAGTGTCCTTTCATCTTGCTTAACAATTAAGGGTAAGCAGTATGTTCTAAATTGAAGGTCTTAGTCCAGGAAGGTCTTTACGAGATGTCCCAAAAACTCAAAATCTTGATAAGGATCTAAATATTTTTGGATTAATTAAGATGGCAAGTGGGAGAAGGACTCTAACGCATCTATCAACAGATTTGGTTACTCCTTCAGCCGTTTTTTATTGGAACACTTTCACTTGAAGAAATTGAGGTCGAAAGTTTGGAATAGAAAAAATGCCAATTTGTGTATATAATGTTATCAATAATTTCAAAGTTTTTACATATGAATCTATAATTCGCAATAAGTTAATAAAGCGATTTAAAGCTGAGTGCGAAAATGATTCTGATAAGCGCGTTAAAGCAAAGGCAAAGATTTTCAAAATTCATCAAAGTTTTACTTAAAGGCGTAGATTAGTTTCTTTTTTCTTTCAAATAATGTTTTGTCTCATGATTGATATAATTGAGAATTTTTATTGAAATGGATGTGTGAAAAACGAAAACGCTCGGCGCGATTAGCAATTGCGAAACTAAATTAATTCAGTTTAAGTTTTTTTCTTCCACACTATTCTCTGCTCTGCTCTGCTCTGTTCCGTTTTTCAAGTGATAAGACATTGGCTATGTATGTGTGTCACAAAAAAAACAAAAAAAAAAAAAAAAATCACGACGAAATTTAACTAATAGCAACAATTTCAAAGGCAAGGAAATGAGTGAATGTTGAAGAGAGTCAGCGATAATGGCATAAGTAAGTAGTATCTTGCGTATGAAATGAATGAAATAAAGCTTCAACTAACGTTTATAGAGATATTATATGCAAAGGCGGGCAATCACTCATTCAGGCAGATAATTACGGCGGAGAGGAACAAGATGGTTGGGAAAAATTTACACAAAAAAAAAAAAAAAAGAAAAGAAAAATGCGCTGTGATCGCTGTTCAGCTGAGGATCGTTCATATTAAAATTGTATTGTCAGTAAATGATGGCGTCAGTGGTCAGCCAATCATTTTGAAATGGGTTCAGCAGCGTTTCTAATCATTTTCAAATGTCTATTCAGTCGCCTACACAAGCAGCAGTGCGTTAGATCGCCTAGCAGTGCGATGTCATATCATAACTAAAAGGGATTAAATATTCTTATTATATACTCCGAGTAAATTCCCAAATATATAAATATATATATATATATATATATATATATATTTGTATATATACACATAGTCGTAGAATATATGCATACGTACGAATATCGCATGTAATTATTTGCATAACGGCAACGTATTGCTGGTAAGGAAAAAGAAATGAAAAACAAAAACTATCAGCTACTGAAGCAGGACTATATTATCCTTACATGTGTGCTCGTATTGTGGTGGATACCTATGTTCAAGTTACTAACGTAATGTTATTGTTGTTACTGCTGGTTTCCATCCATAATTTAAGTGTGTTACACAAGCACAAATTCATACGCAGACTTGGAGGCCTGTTTTTGTATAAACCGCCAAAGTCATGTCTCGTCAGTCGCGACTAAAGAGTTTTATTGAAAACAGCTATTCAGGCCCTTAGTAAAAAAAAAAAACCATTAAGAAAAAACAAAAACGAAAATCAAAGCAAAGTAAAATAATATTTGTCAAAATATTTTCTGTCTTTAAAAAAGGCGCCAAATTTGAAGCTAAAAAGTATACGAAATGTAAAAAAACAAAAAAGAAGTGCATAAAAATGTTTATTAAGCAATTTTTGCAGTTCTCGCAAAAAGCGTTTTTCCTTTTTTTACCCAAAATAAAGTCCGCGCAAATATGCAAAGAACACAACCAACAATTGTATCCAGAAGAAAATTCAAATTCAAGGTGAACGTGCCTTTTTTTCCTGCCGGCCGAGTGAGTGTGAGTGCAAAATTAAAGTGAATAACCGTAACAATAAAAGCAGCTGCTGGTTGCTATTACTAAACCTATTAATCCCATTAAACAGCATTTTGCTTTAATCGAACAAGTTCAACAAAATTGAAAAGAAAAAGAAATTCCATTGAAATAAGAAATTGGTGATTTTTATTGTTGCTTTTTAAATTTGGATATCATTAGTTGGCGTAGCAGTGGCCTGGCCCACAGGAAGATAGAAATTCCAAACTATAAATAAGAGTAAAAGAAGAAAATCGTAGCAACATTTGAAAAGCGTATTGTCTTTGATGGCAACATTGGTGGAACAAATTATGAGATCAAAGGCTCAGGCTCGTAAATTTAATCAAGGTAAGTACACTTGAGTGCTTTAAATAATTTAAAAGCTATACAATAACCATAAATCGGGCCTGGGCGGAATTCTATTACCACTCATTGCCATGAAAGAATTTATGCCTTCTTTGAATGTTAACTTCTGGCTAGGACCTGGCGTTCAACCACAGCAGAGCGTGAGCATAATTTCAACTTCAACGTCTCAAATGTTTGCAGACATTTTTACGTAATGAATTTGTACGTGGGTACATAATAATAATAAGATTTTCGTTAGGTCTTGCAATCAAACATATCGTATACATTTGGGTAGCAACTCAATGCTCGTGGATTCAAATCTCAAGTGCGGCAGAGTTTTCAATAAAGCCGATAGCCTTTGATGCCAATGCTTTAAGACTTTCGTCGTAGAATTCATTGCTCTGGTCAAGGTAATTGTAATAATACAAATTTTAGGACAATAAAATAAATGATATGAACAATCACCAGTGAGTTCAGATCTTTCCCGTTCCGAAACATGTACAGACAAAATATTTGAATGGTAACTTCGATATAGGGTTACCTGCTGACGTTCTGATCGATCACTAGTCACAAAAAAAAAAACATTTATATATTATTCATAGTCGTTTCGTTCCTATTTCAATGCTTGGTATTCCACAGGAACAGTTACAAAAAAAATGCTTCGGAACCAGTTTTGTTACAAGTCAGAGTTGTTCAGTAAACCAAACCACAAAAAAAATAAATGCCTTGTGACTTGTAATAGGGGTCAGAATACCGCTTAAAGTCTTCTTTTTTGTTGCCGAAAGACAAGAACACAAACACAGCAACACAAAGTATACGAAGGAAACTTAGAGAAGGGGGAACCTTGAGAGAGTCGTTTTCATTAGCTTTCTAGGCTTCTGTTTTCCAGTTCGGCTGATTCGTTGATATATCTTCTCCTTGAAGCAGTAGTTCGCACGCGATCTGTGGCAATAATGAACCTTAAGCAGGATTTTTAAGAGTTTGTAATACATTTATACCTATATTTAGGGATTTGCTGATCTTTTCCGGCAGATACTAACGTAAGTGAATAAGAGTTGAATAGATGTTAACCTCTAATCGAAAATTACTCAAGCGTTATAGCTTTACAACTACCAAAGACGGTGGTATTTGGAACAAGAAGATAGGCGTAGATTTTGTGGGCAAAGCTTATGTTTTAATTATTAGCTTATGGTTATATATAAGCATCCAGATGGAGACGATGTGCAGATTTAAGATATCAATCAAATTACAGTTTGAAAGTTTCTAAAGGTGATCGAAAGTTTCTTAAAAGAATTTCAAAATAATTTAGATTTTAATTTAGTTTAACGAATCTTATTATTATTGGAAGTCATTTAAATGTTAACTTTTGAAACAAAAAACAAGGAAACAATTTTTTATACTACAATATTATCGATAGAATTCTTTCAACAGAGTCATAAACTTTTCTTGTTTTTTGTTTACTTTGACAATAACTTTTCGTGATGGGCAATAAAATAATTTATAATAATATTTCTAATCACGAAGACAAAGTACAAATCTACCGTACCGAACATGATATGAACTCTTTTAACATTAAATTTAACAAATTGTTTATCTTCTTTTCAACTTTCAATTGTCTTTTATGGCTTTAATAGAGATAGGTGTATAAAAATTTTAGAAATTGATCAGAAAATTGATAAAACCATAAATAAAAGTACGAAGAATAAGAGCTTATTTTCGGCTTTGGCCGAATATGAAGACTAAAAAAAGAAGAAAACACTAAATTTCTCTATTGGATGGGCGTGGTCGACTTTTTCTATTGCTACAGACTAATATTGGAAATTTATATCATGCATCGTTTATACAAGTAACGAACAAAAAATAAGGAAAGCAAGCAAAGATGTTCGCTCTTTTTTGTTGCATTGTAGGCGAGCGATTGACCCGGTTTCGGCAATTTTCAATTTTGCGAACGAGAGAACGCTTACCACGGATACTACACAGGCGGACTTACGGATAGACGAACAGGCAAAAATACTGGAGTCCATTCCAAATTTGTCACTCATCAGCAGTGTATATAGGGTATGGGTATTTTGAAGCTTCGCGCTCGGAAAAAAGTTAAATTATGATACATTACAATATAGAGCGAGCAAGGCCGATGTTTTCCATTTGTGTACACGTTTTATAGAATCGCGCAACGGATATACGTTAAAACCTTTTATAGGTTTGTCTGCTGTAGTTTGTGAGTAATAAAGAAAAGCCTGAGTTTTTTTCCTTTTGAAAAAGAGAGGTATTCTCGGTTTATGTGGTGCTGTAGGCATTCGCTTCAAACGCTTGATCCGTTTCCAATACCAAACTACGCGCCAGAATTTTCAATGTTTCTGCCAAACTTTAAAGCGATAGCTTCATGCTTACAAGAGACGTTACTTAGATAGACATGTTTAAATCGATTTAGAATCTTATACTGACCAAAACTATGCACACTGTATGGGGGCTCTGAAGCTTTCTCCTGGATGTTGCAAACATTTTAACAAAAAGAACATACCCCTCACCCTTGAATGATGGATATAAAAAGAAAATTAACGAACATGAGATGATAAAACAGAATGAAATATATTTTAAAACATAAATAACGAAAATTATTCAAAAGATATGTAAAAACGTTCACACATGTTTCATTCTTATACATGCGGGTCATTATTATTTCAACCATCATAATTTTTTTTAAATATCTTAAAATATTCTTAAAATCCTAATGATAAGAACGAAGGCTTCTTAGGACCAAAAAAACAGAAATAGTAAGCAATTTCTAAACATTTCATATATATATATATATATATATACGTATATGAAAAGGAAAAAAAGAAACGCATGTACGAACCACAAAAAACCCCACTCTAGTCTAAACGGTTACGCTATCATTTAATTTAATTGTAGAAATGATGTAAGTCAAGTCTTTCCATAACATCTGGTATTTATCACTTCTTATGTACTTTACTGTTGCTATTCTGTACAAAGTTATTATCACTAACATACATTTTGAGACGTAAGTCGGTTGTGTTTTGTGGCGACATGTATTTATTATTTCATTTTTTATTTTTTATTTTTATTTATTTATTTACTTATTTTTTTCTTTTTTGATTTTCGCAATTCAATGCCAGTCAATTTTGTTTTATCGTTTTCTTAATTATGGTTACCAGCCATTTTTCAGTTACGTATCGACATGTCCTAAGCTAGGCCCGCTATATTACAGATAAAATATATACCAAGTAAAGATTGCATTCGTTCTTCAAATTAAAATAAAAAAATTAAATAAATACAAGAAATGAAAAAGAAAGGGGTACGGCATCCCTGCACTTTTTCTTATACAAAAAGCAAGCATTATAGTCGCACGACGGCGCTATTACATACCCTACATCACTTCGTCTAGTACAGTTATTCGTTCGTTTTCGTAATTGTACACCAAAAAGTACACATTAGTTTCGTGCAAAGCCCTAATTATCATGAAAGCCCGCGTATTGGAACGTTAGCGTTTCTAGCATTTAACAATTTGCGTTTCGTAAAAGCGCCCGTATAAGATAGGCTCCGAAAAAAAATAAATAGACCAACGCAATCCAAATTTCCTTCCGTTCATTTTCCGGCTGGAACGCCACTATGGAATAATTTTCATCATAAAATATTAAAAATAAAGACTTCTTCCGAAGTGCTTACTACTCATGAAATATCTTAAAAGGAGTGGGGCCAAGAAATTGACTCCATGTGGTTCAAATTAGGTTCACTCAATTTTTTTATTTGATTATATTAGTCCTCTTTGAAATATAAGGGTTTCCCTCTCATGAGAATCCTTATATGCGGTTCTATTTAAAAAATTGACTCGCGTGGGCCAAATCAGGTAAGGTAGACTTCTTTGTCAGTTCGCTATTATGGGCCAATTTTCACCATAAAATTTTGGAAATTCGACCTCTTTGACATATGAAGCTTTAGTTTTCGCAGGAACGGTTATGTGAGAGTGAGTTCAACAAGTTGCCTCAGCCGGTCCAAAGTTTTCACACGAATTTAGAATGCCGAAGTACTACTACTTAGTAATTTTTGCCAGAAATTTTGACAATTGCAATTTTTTTCCGTATAATGACTTTTCAGAATAGGGCATTATGTGGAGAGTGGTCGAAAAAGTAGACCGATCCGATTCATTTTCAATAGCGATCGTCCTTGGATCAAAGTATGTCAGTGTGTCAAATTTCATCTAAATCTTAAAATTTGTAGCTTGACCTGTAGCTTAAATACAGAAATACATGGGCAGATATCAGACGAACAAACGGACAGACGGGCTTAGATAGATTTACAAAATGATTCTGCATCGAGCACGTTGGCACTAATTTAATATACTTTGTACCACAAGCGGTGTAGTAGGGTGTAATAATTTGTTTTCTCACTTGTCCCTCATAAAATAGAGAGCTCGTGTTGTTATACCTCCTACACCATTTGTGGTACAAAGGTATGTTTAATTTATGCGGATGTGTGCAACACTTAGAAGGGATTCAGATAGACGTACATTTTACTACTACGGACACAGCTCGTTTGCCCATCCTCTCCTCTGTCCGTCTTCTCTTGCGTTCAACCCGCAGGCTGCACTTCTTGAGATATTTGGATGAAATTTAGTGTACGGGATTTTTTTTAAAACAAAGACGAAAGCTATTAAAAATGGTTCGTGCATCGTGTGTCTAGTGTTCACAAAAATCTAAAAGGGTATATAGATGTATTTATTCACTGCAGTGAAAATGAAAGCAGTTCGCCAACAATCACTGTTCGTATGTATAAAAAATGAACTCATCACCATATATTTTCTGAGTGCAGCGATCCTGCGCATGGTTGCGTTAGAAGGAAATATGTCAGAAAAATTTGCAGAAACGTTGCCCATATAGATAGGCTTGCTTATAGCTGAAGGATAAGGCTATACGCCTTATTACATTGGCTTAGTCTATCGTGTAACACCAACCCATGTTCTAAGTCAGATTCACTATGGCTCA